TTTTTACTTGATGTTAGCTTTACACTTAATTTTGAGTAATTGTCACATTTTCAGCTCTGGCTGAAGTTGAAGGTGTTTCAAAACTCCTATTTTATTATTATATATATACAGTATAATATATTCCAGGCCAAACTCACCCCGTCTCCTTCTTTCAGGAAGTCTTTCCTGCAGATGTGGGCCATGATTCCTGTGGCCAAGGCGTCTCCCATCACGTTCACCATGGTCCGGAATCTGTCTCTGAGACAAACAGCAGAAGGAGGAAAAGAGTTAGCCAAAAAAAAAGGTCAGCAGCTAAGGTCAGCCAAACCACATCTAAAATAGCTAAAAGTTAGCCTTAACAGATTGAAAAAAATACAAAATGTTTCTAGGTGTAATTCAGTTATCTAAAACTGACCAAGAAAACCAAAAGTAAAAGCTAAAAACTACTGACAGCGCCCAATCAACAGCAATGATGAGAGTGATGTCATCAGTAGGCAGTCCCACAGATGTGAGGACGATCACCATGGTAACAAGTCCAGCCTGAGGAATTCCCGCTGCTCCAATACTTGCTGCTGTGGCTGTGATGCTAAGAGAAAACAATTCAGTTTTAGTTTACATCAAATGAGAGCTAGCTAAAAGTTAGAATTTTACGACTGTGTTAGTACGACTCGTATCTTTAGGAAGTTTTGTTCCAGAACAAAGTCATGGTTCTGCTACGGAATCCTGGATGGACATTTTATTTAAAAGTGAACTATAGAGACACATGACAACCAGTCACTGTAACCCTGATGCCACAGCGGGGTGGGGGGTGGGGGGCTGGAACTGATTGGGAGTCAAAGGTCGAGCGGTGGCGTGACTGCTCACTTCATACTGTGGTTTAATCCAGGCTACGTGGCTTTTTACAGAGAGATTATAGGATCATGTCAATCCACACAGTCTCCATGGAAATAAGCATTCACAGGGAAAAGACGGAGGAGAGGGTTTACAGTAACAGCAACAACGGCGACAATGACAACAACAACGACAGCAAGAATGACAATGACAACCATGACAATGACAACAACAACGACAGCAAGAATGACAATGACAACCATGACAATGACAACAACAATGACAACAAGAACACACAGTTATAGGTTCACATCCCTTCACACCTGGACAAGACAACAACACTTGTCACCAGACCAAGGTCCATTCAAACATCAGTGATTAATCGGTTAAAACGTGTTCACGGACTGAATAAACAGATCAAATTCAAATTTGAACAGTTTGGCATTTAAATGTTAAACATCAAGTTTGACCTCAGAGACTGAAGTGAAATCAGTGATCTTTTGAATGGACCCTGCTGAGTGGGCTCTGTCTATCCCTGAAATACAGCTTGTAACACTCAAACTAGCTGTTGCCACTAGGGGGCACTCCCATCGCTCTGAATTATTGTTATAAATTAACATAGATGCAGCAGAGAACAGACGTTTGACATGATCAGAACTATTCCACGGTCCGTCCCTACTCCTCCCACTGGGGGTTCAGTTGTTGTTGTTGTTGTTGTTGTTGTTGTTGTTAATATCATGGCTTTAAATCCCAGAGCCCGGTTGTTTCCCTGTAAATGAGCTCAGCAGCACAGATGGCCGCTTTGATCCTGGCCCACTGACCTGATGGTGATGATCTGACCAAAGTCCAGCTCATAGTTGTTGACCTGAGCGATGAAAATGGCCGCCACGGCCTCGTAGAGTGCAGTTCCGTCCATGTTGATGGTGGCACCGACAGGAAGCACAAAGCGTATGATTCGCCGGTCGATGTGGTTGTTCTCCAGGAGGCACTTAAAGGTGATGGGCAACGTGGCTGAGCTGAGGAGAAGTCAGAAGTGGACAAGATCAGCATTAGCACTTAGCTAACATTGTTTTAGCTCAAGCTAATACGTCCTACACAGACCCTAAATGTGTAATTTTCACACATTGGTCTGGAAACATCTCATTTACATGTGAAAACTGCTTGGTGAACATGAAGTTGAGAAGGTCTGGAAATCCTTCCATGGGAACCATAGTATCTAGTACTTGTTTCTGAAAAAGATGACGTGACAGCTGGACAGGAAGTAGAAAGGAGGAAGGAAACAAATGTAACACGTCTGTGAACTGAAAAAGAGCGGGAAAAACAAGGAGTGGAAACTGAAGAGAAGAGGAGAGTTTTCCAGGTTTGATCCACTTCATGGAGAAACTGAGATTAGCTGTTTGTGGAATACTGAACTGAGGAAACTGGACAACAACGGCTGGTCCTGGTCCTGGTTCAGTCTTTGACATCTTGGAACTTTTAGATAAGTCTCTGTTTCTGTCTTCACCTGAGGTCTGACAACAAGCATCAACACCAGATAACATTGAGGCAGAGCTAATACTGAGGCGGAGCTAATACTGAGGCGGAGCTAACTGGTACCAGTTCTGTCTCAAAGACAAACCAAGAGCTCAGATGACGTTCTCTCTAAAACTGCTTCAAATTCAAACATTTGTGAGAACATTTGCTGCTGCTTTTATTCTTGAGCAAAAACAGACCACACACACAAACACACACACACAGTCGGGGGAAGTGCGGGGGGGTGAGTCTAGTCACACCATCGGAATGCTACTTCACATTCCAATCTCTTCCCACACGCTCCAGATGTTTTCTCATCTCCCAGCACCCCTCTCTTCCTCCTGCTCCACTAAACAGGAAATAACTAATCTGCATTTGTTACTCTGGGATTATTCCAGATTAAAGTGAGAAAAGACTTGATGTGAACATGGTTCTGGTCCCAGGTCAGAAAAGAGAAAGTCTTGCTCTGTCCAGTGGACTAAGATCAGAGTCTCAGTCTCATTAGTGAACGTAAAACCGTTCTGTACCTGGAGGAAGTGGCTAACGCGATGAGCAGCGCCTGCAGAATTCCACGGATGTAGACAATGGGGCTCTTCTTGGTGATGAAGAAGTACATGGCAGGAAGGATGAACAGGCCGTGCAGCACCAGACCAAAGACCACTGTCAGGGCGTAGAACCCAAGCTTTTTACCCATGTCTGAAGGATCACTCATCTCCAGGATCTTTCCAGCCACCAGGAACACGATGCCAAATGGGAAGTACCTGGAGGAGGAGTGGACAACGATGGATCAGAACCAGTCTACTTCCACTGGGCTGCCTTCAACTGATGTCCTGTTCACAAATGAACCTGACGAGTGGACTCTGGCCTACAGGACTCTGGCCTACAGGACTGAGGTCTACAGGACTCTGGTCTACAGGACTGAGGTCTACAGGACTCTGGCCTACAGGACTCTGGTCTACAGGACTGAGGTCTACAGGACTCTGGTCTACAGGACTCTGGTCTACAGGCCTGAGGTCTACAGGACTCTGGTCTACAGGACTGAGGTCTACAGGACTCTGGCCTACAGGACTCTGGCCTACAGGACTCTGGTCTACAGGACTCTGGTCTACAGGACTCTGGTCTACAGGACTCTGGCCTACAGGACTCTGGTCTACAGGACTGAGGTCTACAGGACTTTGGTCTACAGGACTCTGGTCCAGTTTGTGTTAGTGGGAGTTCAGTTGATCACACAGGAGACCAGCTTTAGCCCCGCCCACATCTACAGTGAAGCTCAGCTGATGTTCAGCCTCACGGCCAGGGAGTTGAGCATTAGAACCTGGGTCGTAGATCTGCGTGACCAATCACAGCAGCTGTACCAGTGACCTCCTTATCTCAGTGTCTGACCGTCACCACCTGAACTAGTTCTTCTCACCATATGACGATGGCCACGATCCTCAGGACGGCCTCGTTCAGACTCTGGCAGAAGTTGACCAGGGCGGCGCCGTTGGGCCCCATCCTTCCTAACATGATTCCTGCAGGGACACAGAGACCCGGCTGTGAAGGAGTTTCAGGGTTTCAAACCTTCACCCGTCTAACATGTCTACTCCTGGTTTGTTTGTTTTGGTGTTTTTATACCCATGGTTGCTGAGAAAATAACAATTCCAAGGACGTTCATCCCATCACTCGTTCCTTCCCGCGTTCGTACAAGCACGTCAGGGGGCGGAGTCAGGTCCAGGGCAAAGTTCTGGATGTCACTCCCATTATCGCCTCTGATGCCGTAGATGAGCGTCCGCCGTGTGGTGGACTCGGACGACGTCTGACTCACACCTGGCTTTGGTTTCACAATGTACTCGCTGCTGGTCCGGTACTGTTCACGGAGAGAATGTTAATGTGAAGAACACTGTGATGGAACTCTGTCTTCATCATAACAGTTTGACACTTACCTGCTGAAACGTGGCTTGGACCAGATTAGATGGGAACATGTTCCTGTAGTACACAGACGCAGACACAGACGTGTAACAGTTAGCCAAAGATTGCTAATTAGTTGATACTAAATAATCACAATCCACAGAAAATGTTTTAGCTAAAGATTAGCTATGATTATTATAGCTTATTATAGCTATAATAAGATTAACAGCTATGATTGGATAAAACAGATCCAAAAACTACTACGTTAGGATTAGGGTTGAGGTTCTGGTCTCACCGGATCAGGTCCAGGAGAGCATCGGCAGAACTCATGATGGGTTTCCCACTGTCCTCTGAGTCTTCTTTCTGGGCCGCACCCCCAGGGTGGATTATGCAGACCATGATGATCCCAACGATCACGGCCACAAACGTGGTCCACAGGTAGTAGGACACTGTGATCAGACCCAGACGACTAGAACACTTGGCGTCCAGGGCAGCGAGTCCTGACATCAGACTGAGGAGGAGGAAATGTGGAAACATGAAAAGTTCTGTCCATACGCTGATGATGTTGGACCACATACAAGTGGAGAGGGTCAGTAGGTCAAACAGAAGTCACTGTTGACCATTCAGAGGCAGCTTTGAGACTTGAGAGCCATGTTTGTATCAGACTTGTTTCATTTCTTTGTGGCCCAGCAGGAAAACTGTGACTACGTCGGCTTTTCTGTAGTTGTCTTTTAACAGCTGACCATGCTTTGACTAACAACTTTCTAGCTTCAGACTAACGTTCGGTCAGTTTAGCTACTCTGGACCTCACGTGTGTGTGTGTGTGTGTGTGTGTGTAGGCTTCAGTTCTCTCATCTCTAGACTCGTTTTACCTTTAGTTCAAACATCTCTTGTCTCTGTCCTGCGTCTGTGAATGAATGTCAACATGGTCTGAGCTGCTGCTGGTCAAAGATGTCTGAGAACATCATCTGACCAATCAGAGCCTTGAACTCCAGACCTTTAATTAACAGAAAGATCAGAAGTAAACTTCACCTGGACACGACCAGTGGGAGGATCAGCATCTTCAGCATTCTCATCAGCAGCTCCCCAGGAAACTGAAAGTACTTCACTTCCTGCCCAGAATCAGAGAGAATGAAACATGTAGGATTAAGATCAAGATTATGATTGAGAATAATCATGGAGTTAAAGGATTCCTGAAGTCGTCATTGGGTTTTTTTTTTTTTTGGCTCGAACTGAGGTTCAGTTCTGACTGGACTTAGGTCCAGGAGCTCTGGGTTTGAGGACCAGGGTTGGACCAGAGATCAGCAGAAGACCCAAGTATTGGTCAGAGAGTCTGAGGTGACATCATCTGCTGTAGCTCCTCCCCCTTTGTTTCATATCCAGCTGGCATCAACCAATCATCACTGTCAGAGCCCTGCTCTTATTAGAAGCTTTTTTTGTTGGATTTTAATCTGCGGGGGTGAAAGTGAAGGAGTCACAGATTCATGGTCAGGGAGCATGATGGGAAAGAAAAGGGCTGTGGTGGCGGGCATGTTGGATCACAGCTAGTAAAGAGATCAGTCCCCTGCACTCACCCCATCCCAGAAAACACACACAGTCTTTAAAAATGGAGCCACAAAATCCCAGGATTCACAAGTGTGGGCGGAGCCTCAAATCTGACCTGCTCTGAGAGTCGCCGCGTCCTCAGGAAGAAGCCCAACAAACAGCCGATGACCACAGCCATGACGGACATGATGAGGAGTCCATTCTGTTTACAGACGTTCTTCACCCTCAGCCACACGCCGTCAAGCTCCATCGCCATCATAAGGGTCCAATTTTGTCCAATCAGCAGTTAGCCATCAATAAGACCCGCCCACAGCCAGCAAATACAGTTCAAATACTCCTTATAGTGGCTCAACGTTAGCTAAAAACTAAACCCACAAAAAGAGCCAACGTTGATAAAAAGTATTTTTTAACTATAACAGATGTTGGTTAAAAGATGTCTAGAAGTAGTTACACGTGAGAAACGCTGCGGCGTTGAAAGATTAACGTTGACCCCGAGACCTCGTCAAGAGTTCACCTTAAGTCAAAGTTTAAGAAAAAAGATTTGATTTGAGATGAATATGGACAAATATGACATATTGTCAGCCTAGCTAAGTGTTAGCAGTTAAGTATTGCCCAGGCCTATGGCAAAAAAGCAATTAGTCCATCCAGTATTATTAGAAATAGAAATAAAAGCAAAAGATTATTCCAGAAGTAGCTAGCAACAATTCTAAAAAAGCAGCAAAACAGCAACAATAGCTAAATGTTAGCCAAGAAAAGAGAGTCGCTGTTAAAAATAAAATAAAATAACCAAAAATGTAGCAAAAGTAGCTAAAAGTTAGAAACAAGATATAAATATTTGAACATAAACAAAAACGATGTCATCTGTTGGGTTCCAAAGTCAGGGTTGAGTCGTTCCTCGTTCAACTGCAGTCAAAGACGGAGCCGTCATCACTTCAGGGAACACTGAGACCATTGTCCTCATCAGGTCCTCACAGGAGTCCAGAACCAGTGGTTGATCCCATTCCAGGAACCGCAGGAACCGAGGAAAGGTTCAGGAACATTGGAACAAATTCCTCCTCCGTCGAATTTCCCAAATATTCCTTTGGCAGCATCTCTGTCACTGAGCTCCTGCCCCACCCTGCCCCACCCGTCACTGAACACTGGGGAACAGCTGGTCCTGAGAGGACAGAGGATGGAAGTGTGGGGGTGTGGGCGGAGTTAACCTCTGCAATCCCACTATATGAAAACAACTCAGATTAAAAACCCAGCAGCGCGGAGGAGACGGGTCACGAGATTCCACCAACGGGAACCACGTTAAAAACATGTTCCACTGGGGGGAGAAAAACACACACTCACACACAGGGATTATAATCCAGATTAATCCTGTAGGAAACCTTTATGGAAACATGGCAGCCAATGGAGAGCTGGAGATAAAAAAAGTGTCCACCTGTCTCTAACACTCACCCTGATGCTAAAGGTTAGATTTTATAGCTCTTTTTTTTTTGCTCTTCTTTTCATGTCAGAAAATTCTAATGTTTGTGGCTAAATGTCAGGTTTATGAGTTTTCCATTTTATAATTTCTCACATTTAGCTTCCTGTGTGATAAAACTTTAACCTTAAAAATCCTAAAGCTGAGTTTTAGCTCATTTTTGCTTACATTGAGCTGTCTTTACCCTTTTTTGGTCAAATTTATCTAATTATGCGACAGTGTTGTTTGGCTATTTCGTTAGCTTGTTTCCCTCTGACTTGTTGTTATTATTATTATAATCCTAACTAAACAATTTGTTTTACCAATTCCTAAGTGTTAGCTTCTTCTGTTTAGAGAAAATGTCACTTTTCTTTTTTAGATTA